TGTGGCTCGCGAGCCGCAGTTTGCCGACCACGATCCCTAAAGAACATGTAAGTACCCCAGTCACGACAGTACTAAGTATCTGCTTATTGAAGATGAGGAGGAAGATGAAGACTCTCTAATAGGTCTAGAGCAGCGGTTCTCAAACTGTGGGTCGCGACCCCTTTGGTGGTCGAACGACCCTTTCACAGGGGTCGCCTAAGACCATCCTGCATATCAGATATTTACATTATGATTCGTAACAGTAGCAACATTACAATTATGAAGTAGCAACGAAAATAATTTTATGGTTGTGTCACAACATGAGGAACTGTATTTAAAGGGCCAGAAGGTTGAGAACCACTGGTCTAGAGTATACAGTGGGGCCTTGACTTACGAGTGTCCCGACTAACGAGTTTTTCAAGATACAAGCCGTCCCTCAGCTGATTTTTTGCTTTGAGTTGCAAACTAAAATTTGGGTTATGAGCCAGCTTCAGATACCTCACTGCTAGTTGGCGCAGCAAACATCACAGTGAACGCCACAACATCAGCCCAGCATCACGTGTCTCACTCGTTCACTTTCGATTTGACATATGAGTAATTTGAGTTACGAGCCCCGTCACAGAATGAATTAAACTCATAAGTCAAGGCCCCACTGTATTTATATACACATTTCAATAAGGGGACTTGTTTTTTTGTTTGTTTGATACATCTGAAAATAATACATATACAAAAAACTGAGACATGAGAAAGCATTGGTTCAAGACTAATAAGTCTAAAAGAATTAGGATTTGGGGAAGGTGAAGATTACCTAAACATTTTTAAAGATTGGAAACTGCAACCAAAATACGCTGCTAAAATCCCTATTAAAACTTATGAGGAGTTTTCATAAGACTCTTTCCATGATTTTTATTAAACCAGAGAGCCTCAATTGGCTGCTCTAAGGGTCCTCCTGCAAAACAGAAATAAGATGATTCTTTTAACTTGTCTGAATAATAGGACTCTGACATCTGATGTCATCAGTTTCACTGTGCCTTCTTTAATCTCTTGGCTATGATTATAAGAAATTAACTCCCAACTCAGTCGAAAGCTGGATGTTTTCTCAAAGAGAATGCTATTTCTGAGTCTCAGAACTTGGAACCTTTATTTATGGTTGGCCACTTGGGACTTGTGATCTCAAGCAAAGTTTAATCTTTCTGTAGGAATTGACTATTTTACATTGTCATTTCTAGTTCATGCTGGTGTGGACCTCATGCCTGTGATTTGATTCTTCATTGCTGTAGCTGCTCTGAGACAAAAACTAGATAGAAATGGAGTAACAGATGGGTGCCAAATATACTTTGAGGATAACAGGAAGGTGAGTACAGGGGAAATATATCTTTTGACAATTCAGAGTGACTTTCCACATATATTAACAGGCAATGACTTTCAGAAAATATCCATTTCTCCACAAACAAAACATGACCAACTGTATTGCCTGCCTTCATCACTTTACCATACAAAGTACCATTCTCACATTGAATGATTTTACTCGGGGAGTTTGCATGATACAATGTAGAAAGTTAATTGCATGTAATTGGGTCAGAGAAGGGACTAAGTAAGTAGCCAAGGCCTGGAACCAGTAAGATAATAAAGTGCCTGAAATAAAACCATGGGACTTTATTTATTTTTAAATTTTTAATTGACTTCAGGGAGAGAGAGAGAGAAACATCAATGATGAGAGAGAATCATTGATTGGCTGCCTCCTGCATGACCCCAGTGGTTGAGCCTGCAATCCGGGCATATGTCCTGACCAGGAATCGGGGTGTGATCTCCTGGTTCATAGGTCGATGCTCAACCACTAAGCCATGCCAACTGGGCATCGTGGAACTTTAGAATTTTAATGTTGTTTAAATACGTGGATGGCCTTCTCTAAAAGTAATTGGAGGAAAAAAAACAATGAGAGAAATGTTAAGTTGGAGTGAAAACTCATGAAAGATGAATCATCCTCATTTCCTACAGAACAAGGTAGAGAATAACTTTTTCTTATTTTCTTTTCAAAATACACAACTGGAAAAGAGAATTATGAAGGTCTACATAATAATTTTCCTTCCTGCTGTGCTATGGCTATGTCCCATTTGATAGTACTGTTGTTCCTTGTTTCATTTTCTTTACAACTCTTATAACTGAAACTTTTGCACATCTCTGATAGTGTAATTTTGGGACTCATCCTTTGCTCTGAAGAGGGCTGGTTCATTTCCTGTCAAATGTTATATCAGGACACTAGAATATTTCCTGAGGAAGAATCTTTAGCATCTTGGAAGCAGGGAAATAGAGAAAAAGAACTGTCATTTTCCTCAGCAAATTATCAGTGACCATTGGAACTATAAAGCTGCAAGAGTTTCTGTGAGGGAAAGCCAGAGTGGCAAAGGTGGGTTCAGTCTGTAGAAACTTGCATTGCCATTCTTCATAAGCAAGTTCACAGTAAACCATGGAGTACACAGATCATGCATATTCAGCCAGTCGATCCTATGCTGTCCATGTGGATTACATGGCCTGTCCTCTAGTTGACTAGAGCAGGTGAATACTGGCACACAAGGGTTCCAGGTATTATTGCTCTTCTCTTCTAGTGAACTGTTTTAATTTTTCATAGAAAACAGCTTTCTTGTGATGTTAATTCACATTAAAGTATATAATTCAATGGTTTTTAATATATACACAGAGTTGTGGAACCATCACCCCAATCACTTTTAGAATATTTTCATTACCTCAAAAAAACAACAGCCCTGTAACCTTTAGCTATAACCACCTTAATCCTCCATTCTGTCAAGCCCTGGGCAACCATTAATGTATATTTTGTCTCTATATATTTTTCCTATTCTGGACATTTCATATATTGTAAATGGAATAATATAATACGTGGTCTGTTGTGACTGGCTGTTTTTACTTAGCATAATGTTTTCAAGGTTCATTTATGTTATAGCATATTAGTACCTCATTTCATATACAGCGATGTCCCTAAAAATGTATACACACTTTAACAGCTGATACCTCAACTGATGTTTCTTTCTTTTCAAATTTAACCCATTTGGATTAATAATTATTCAAAGTGTGGCCCTAGCCGGTTTCACTTAGTGGGTAGAGTGTCAGCCTGTGGACAGGTTCAATTTTGGTCAAGGGCACATGCCCAGGTTGTGGGGCATGCAGGAGGCAGCCAATCAGTGATTTTCTCTCATCATTGATGTTTCTATCTCTCCCTCTCCCT